CAAGGATACCCAGCACCGTATTTGCCTTGTTTTTTGTTTTCATAGAATCATCAAGGTTGGAAAAGACCTTTAAGAGCATCAAGTCCAACCATCAGCCCTACAACCCCTAACCACTAAACCATCTCCTGAAACACCATGTCCACCTGTTTTTTGAACACCTCTAGGGATGGTGCCTCCACTACCTTCCTACTATGGGCAGCCTGTTCCAATGTCTCACCCCTCTTCCTGTGAAGAAATTTTTCCTAATAATCATTTCCTATGGACATATTTCCTAATGTAATGTAATTTTTTCTTAATATCCTAGTATTTCTCTGAGCATCTACTACTGTTCAGTCAGAGAAAGGAAACCTGATTCAGCAGAACTTTGGCCTGCCCTATCATGAATCAACTTCCACAGAATTACTATCAGTAATTCCAGGTTACTCTGTCTCAATGTGTGGTATTTATTTAGCTGTTAATAACCAGTCACATACCCTAGTGCACTGGAAAGATATAATAGTTCATGGCAATGAAATTTGCACTAATTGCAAGTATTTACAGAAAAATAAGGAGGATGAAAGGTGGCAGGGGAGATGCTGCTGGACTCTCCCTCCTTTGATGCCTCTATATGCATGGGAAGATACACAGGAATATTTTTCCAGTTTCAGACAAAATACAAACTTTGAAACAGCCCCAGGCTGTACTGCATCATCCACTAGTCCATATGACCTATAAAATGATATCACTGGCAAAAAAAGTGGTCTGATAAGCACCTTAATAATCCATATCTTAATGAGAAAGAAATGCTAATGTACATAGGAAGGGCTTCAGCAGCTCACATTCTTGAAATCTTTGTTAATAGAGCTTGTGAGGATGCACATTGGCTCTCCTGCACTTCCTCCAGATGATGACGAACAGTTGCAGAAAACTTGCTGGAAAGGGAAAGCTCTCTTTTGGCTTTTATTTTTTACTTCATGCAAGAAGGCATTTTCACATGTAAATTCATTAATGTTAGAAATTCAGGTATCTGAAGCATCACTTCAGCCAAACTGGTATGTGTTCTTCTCCTTTTACCTGAATAATAGATCTCCCTCAAAAAAGAGCGCTTAAACCTTTATACAGTCCTTATTATACATTTTAAAAAGAGGACACAACTTTATAAGCTCTTGAATAAAACAACCATAGAAATTGTTAGCACAATGCAGATTAGATAAAAAAGATAGAATAGTTTTAACTGAAGAGACTGTTAAGATCGTCAAGTCCAAGATTATATATTTATAATGTATTTCCTACTAAATACTACTTGTTAGGTCATTTTATACTTAGAAAACACTTCTTTCCTTTAGAAGAATTTACATGAAAAATTACAACAGCTGTAGGTGAAGTGTAGAACAAAAAACTTAGACCACTTTCAACACCATAAAATACTGAAGCCCGTTAATACATGCACTAAATGTTTCCTAAAGTAATTTTTCACTGATCTGTAAGGAAGCAGGTGCCCAAGGTTATACCATTTCTTCCTTGAGAGGAAAAGGGAGGAAGGTGAAAACATTTTGCTGTATAGTTCTGGCTAGAACATTAAACTTGAGCATTCAGGTCAACTTAGGCATCAAGAACAAATTGTTTTGGTTTTGTATGGCAAAGGCTATTCCCTCTGTCTTCAAGAGCTGACATAGGAGCAACTAATAAGGCATGAAAGGTCTAAAAGAAACATCTTAGTGTTTAATTAGAGTTGAGTCATGCTGTGCTGCCATAGTTGACATGCACATGCTCCTGTACTTGACATCTATTAAATGCTGAAAGATTTTCTGAGACCTGTGATCTCATAAATCTTTTTCACTTTTTAAAATTGTGCAATTTTCATAGGTGTTGCAGAAACAAAAAAGGAGAGATACAAGTCAAACATTCTTAGAAAGTAAATAGGAGCAATGGCTGTTAACATCACTAGTAGATGGCAATCTTAAGAATTAGATCATAAGGCCCTTTTGTTACAGATTGACTTTTATGTGTGTCGTGTCACCCTGCAGGAAGTCACAGGCTACAGGCCAGAGCACACATTTCCATCTTCAACCTTTTGAAGGCCTATGTTGCTTTAAAAATTGTGGAGACATCTGTAGGGAAGGTAATTATATAATCAGCAGACATAATTTGATAAAGGCAGAGAGACCTGTTTAAAGACAGACTTTACATCTGTAAAAATCCAAGCTTTTGTAACTAATTTGAAATAGAAAGAGTAGCACCATTAAAAACAAAAAAGCATCAACTTTTGTTTTCAGACTCATGTAATACTTTTAAACAGTTCTCCTAATGTTAAAAACTTACTTAGAACTGCATGAAGTCTCAGTATAAAAATATTCAGCTCATGTCAGACAACTGTTTGCATGCCTGTAAATTGATAACAAGGGTGCTCGGTTCTTACTTGGGAGATGATAATGAACACTATGGACCACTGCTTTATCTTCCTGTAAAAATAATACTCCAAGCTATTAAATACTGCAATTTGGAAGAACATGTTGTAGCTTTTCTAAAAAGGGAGATGAAACAACCTGAATTTATTGGAAGCACTCAGTAATCTCAAAGGAGAAAAACACAGCCCAAAGATGAAAGGAATTAACAAATTATCTTCATAAACTTAAAAAACTCTCCTAACTTTCTGAAGTAATGTCAATTTAGGTTTTGCAACTATGTGCTAAAAAAAGAGCACAAAAAAAATACTGCAGCAAAATGAACCAGTAGCAAAAAAAGCCCAGGAAAAAAACCTGCTTGTAAAGCACTTTTTCACCCCATTTTTAACTATTTGCTGCTACAGTACTCCAACCTTTTTTCACTCGAGATCCAGTGCGTTAAAAAGACTCATATTTCTCCTGAAAATAATCGGGAAAATTGTAACAGTGTACACTTGAAGTTTATTTTAAATGCAAATTATTTATATTTTTTTTGCAAACCAACTGGAGTGGAAGGAGGCCAGAGATAACCCTGTAGCATTAGACAATCTCTAACCCAGAAAAGGCACTCATGGACTCCACAGCTGCCTCTCAGCTTGTGTCCCTGCACATCTAACCCACACAAATGCTGAAGGGCTGCTCCTGTGCCCAGCACTGTCATACTGGCTTTGGTAGCACAAAGGCAACTGTAGCACACAGGCTTCAGTAGCACAAAGTAAGGGCCATCAGCAATATAATCCAAACACAAATTTTCAAAGAAAATATTAAATATGAGAAGGAAGACCTTATGTTTGGTTCATATTCTAGAATATACCACGAATTTGGTAGATTCACTAGCCATTTGTAGATTGTGAGCTTCTAAAAGTAGGAAAGTATATGACTTGAGGGCAGCTCAAAAATCACAAAATCGATTCATGTCATGATGAGTTCAGTTACTTTTAACCACACGAACGCCTTGTTAAAGAAAGAGCACATGGAAATATGCATTGTTTCTCAAAGGACAGCCATTCATTCTCATGCACAGTAAACAACACTGAAATGAGAATATTCAATATATTTAGGGTTCTTTTTAAATACAGAAGACCTAAGCTCTCTGTGTAATACAAGTGCTGAGGGAAAGGCTGCGAAAGAGACCATTTAAAAAAACCTCCTGCAACATGGCTACATGGCCAAACACTACATCTGAAATAGTATGTCAAAATAGCCTTTTGCTTAGAAAAGTTACTGCAGCTGGTGCCCAGTCACGTGATTTTCATGGATTCCATGATGATAAAGCAAGACTTGTACTGCACAAACACTGCTAAACTGCTGGCGTAGGAGGAGTATTCACGTGCTTTTGTGACTAGGGTTCAGCACCGATGGATGGAAATCATTTTACTTGTCCAGAGATGCTGCCTGCCTACAGAAGCTTGTCTGCTCCTGGCTGATTGTGCTGCTGCCTCCCCCTCCCTCCCCTCCAGCCCAGTCTCCCCTCCATGTGTGCGCGGGCTCACACATTCACACCCTCACAGGCTATTCATTTTGAAATCACTATGGTAAGTACAAAGGGCTACAAAGAATTAGAAAAATAGCAGATGGTCTCTTCAGTTGGGCCATAAGCAATGCAAATCCAACTGCATAAAGCCACAAACAAATTCTAATTTTTCACAAGCATTTACAGTCACGACTACAATATATGTTCGCTATAGTTCATAATTTTCTCTCCCCTTGAGAGATTAGTAACACTGACAGAACAGAGGAAAGCCCGCAGAAATCACTTTTCCTCTCTGTATGTTTCTTCTGGTAGGAAAGCCAGAGCTACCAAAACTGGCGACAGCAGCGTGTGCACAACCCCAGCTCAGCTGCCACATGCCACTGAAGCGGCCACAGTATCAGCGATCGCTGAAACCACTGCTGACATGACCACAGCTCTGGCAATCTGCGCGCCAGGAGGAGGACACAACCACGCTCCACCCCCTGCTCCCCCCCCGCCAGATATTTAAGATTTTAACTGCCTTGTGCACGCAGTCATATATTTGAGAAGGGTCTGAAAATGTCGTATGGATGCATTCAAAAACAAATACACACGGAAAACAATTTATGCTGGCTTCTGTTCATGTACTGCGTTCCGTAAAGGCACAAATAGAGAAAAGCCCAGTTTACGGCTGTACTGTGCTCCAGTAGCACACTGTCTTTGCTAAGGATCATACTGGAAAACTCTTTTGGAAAACCTCAAGCATTCTTCCCCACCCCCCACGCCTGCCGCCAAAAATCTGTAACTGCTAAATATGAAAAACATCCAAATTGTTACACACACAGAGATAAAAATGATCTGACTCTGAACAAACTAATGCATTGAACACTTGACAATTACTTGACAGTTTCTTCAAGCTTGCCCAAGAGTGCCCGTTAACTTCAGTCCCAACATTAATTCTCGCATGCAGGTTCACGTACGTGGGGAGCAGGGGGGAAATAAGGGAAAAAAGCATTGCAAAATACTGAAATCATCATAGTAAAACTTCCAGGTTGGGTCAGGAAAGGATCAGATGAGAGTTGTCATAAGAAAACTCTTAAAGCCAGAAATTAGGAAATGCTTACCTTACAGTGCAGTTCCTTTCATCCCGATCGTTAACTTTAGAGAAGATACGCTCCCCATCTTCCTTTAAATCTTCTGCTTGCCTCCTTACTTCAACTGAGACTTCCTAAAAGTGGTTTACAGCACAAGTAAGACACCAAGTCATCATGTTTCAGACTTCTGAAAAATCTATGATTATGGAACCTCTTATTTGTGGGTTTGCTCTGTTTGAATATACATGAAGTCAACAGCATAGCATGTCTTAAGCTCGCTTGGTTTTAAGTGGTACAGTATGCTGTGTGCCCTCTTGCGCAGGACGGCACACCGACCTGGCTCTGCTCGAGTTACTGCTCTACTCTGCTGATCTACAGAGGAGTTTAGCATTTATATAAACCTCCGCAACTTCCATTTGGCAAAGACCAAAAAAAAAAGTGGCAAGGAAGTTACAGAAGACTTGCTTACACTTCAGAAGAGGCAAGTACACACCAGCTTTTGAATCCCTGAGCGTGTACTTTAGTTTCTCAGTAAAACACACAACAACACTGTTCCAGAATTTTATTATCTCCCTATCTTCAAACAACCACACCCAAAGCATAGCTTTGCATTACAAACACTGAACCTACAGAAAATTTAATTGTGCATTAGCACTGGAATAATCTGAACCATATATGTGAAACAACCTCTTTATTTACTTCAGTCTGTTGTAAGCATCTTCAACGCACTTATCACCATATTTTCCAGGTGCCTAAACAGGTGTTTGTTTTTTGCCCCAGGAGGCCTATACTGAACTTAAAGGCACTGACTAATAAACCAGAAATGCATACATGAAATAGATTATAAGATGATTTTTCTGCTGGGTAGGCAATTATTTAATAATTTAGTTAATTTCATTTTCAAAATAACTTCCAGGTGAATATTTAGAGTGTTTGGAATCTCTAGCCTCATAAATTATCTGCACAGTTAAGCCTGCATGTGGAGTTAAACAATAACTTTTGCAAAACTTAAAGACACAAAAAACTTAAAGGGAAAAAGTCCACAACTTTTAGAGATAAACAAATTCTGTTTCATTTTGAGCTCTTCTTATTCTACTCCATCTATATATACGCACAAAGAGAGGTGCTGTGTGATGTGTACGGATGTACACGATGCTTTTAACAAGAGGAAAAAATAATAATTATAGACAACTGCATTGTCTCAATTCTTTTCTTGCATATAGTCAAGTTCAACACTGGCTGAACATACTATAACTCCCTATACATATCAGTCAATCTTGTAGCAGCTTGAACAACATCTTATAAACAGAGAACTTAAGAGACTGGGTTTCTCTATTTCTCCTGCCACCTGCCAACCGTTCCCTGGCCCCGCTCAGTTAAAAATTAACTTAATATTTACTTGCAAGTTGAACAGACATTTGGCATCTCTCTAAGGAACAAATTTATACATCTTAAATCAAGCAAACTGGCATAAAATAAAACACTAAGCAGTTTCATTTGTTGCTGTAGTGTTGCCTGAACATTAACAGACGCATTTTTGATCTCTATGTTTTATTAGTTAGTTTTGTCCTATGTAGCTTTTGCATCAAGCAAGTTTAGATGAAAAAAAAGAAATCCACGGAAAAAGATCAGACTATTATCAAAATTGGAAAAAGTATGTATCATTTCCCCTTGGGACATTTTTGTTCAAAATTCATAGTGAAAATCTTGAAATGGGGAAGGCAGCCACACCAATGAAGTAACTCCGGGTGAAGATTCCTTTGATCTTCCCATACCTCTTTTGTAAGAAAGAGGACGTTAACAAATCAACCAGCTTGTTTTATTCCATCTGGCTACAACACTCAATAATATTACTTGATCCAGTTGCTCTCTGCTACACTCAATTCCTGTGCAATAAAACTTCTATCTTCTTCATTTTATTTTTGAGAACTACTTCTAACAATTGACAAAAGGCAAACACAACACTACAATGCATTCCTAAACTGGAAATTTTCATTAAAAAAAACACCCTGTTCCCCCTTCACCACTTTCCTGCTGCCTCCCTGGGCAATTTAAAGGTTAACATCAAAGACACTTGTACCTGTTTGTAGAAATCAGTTGAAGGGGATGATCTAGATCTCTCATGGGTGTACTGAGTTTTTTCATGTTGTTCATGGCCTGCATCAAGGATATTATCAGCTGAATGGTACCTTCCTGAGCTCCTTGGCTCTATCAGCTTCCTCTGCTCCTTCCACGACGCCTGATACTCCGCAAAGGTTCCCAGGCGCTGCGGCTGTTCAGATTTCACAATCCTATCAGCAGCCTTACTGCTGCTACTGTGGTGGATGTTACCTTTTGAAACATGGGCAGCTTCAAGTCCAACAGAGCCTGCCCAATCTCTTCTCTCATACCATGACTCGTCTTCCTCTTGTCCATAGTGAGTTTTCCTGTCTGGTCTCTCAGGCTGTTCCTCAGCTAGGCTGTGGGGAGCTGGTTTCTGTGCCAATTTCCTATATGCAGGCTTACTTGTTTCTTCAAAAAATTTCCACCTGTCTGCAAATGTGCCCAGTGCTTCTTCTGATGCATTTGGATAGCAATGAGCATGGCATTCATCCTCTGACATCCCCACCTCATTCATCTTCTCCGGTTCAGAGTAAGACTTCAGTTTTTGCTCTGTTGTGAACCTCTTCCTGGCTCCAATGCGAGGAACGTGATGAGTGCCACTCCCTGTGGGGTTCGGTTTAACTTGTGTAGCCTCAAGGAATCCAGGCGCATCTTCAGAAACCAAAGCCAATAACGAAGAGTTGTAACTACCAGTTTTCTGCTCGGGTGACCTGGGGAGATATTCAGTGGGGCTGGGCTCCAAGTCTCGCCGTTTGAAGGACGTTGCTCTCAAAACTCTAGCCTGTGCTTCCTTGAGATGATCTTTGTAGGTGCTGGTAAAGTTAGTGTCTAAGGAGGTGGTGGCATTTTCTGCTGAATCTGGCTTCCAAGTCTCATTGCACTCTTCTGTTTCAGATGACCCTACTAATGTAGCAGTGCTTCTACTTTTCTGCAGCTTCGCTTTTCTCATTTGGATCTCATTTCTTAGGGTTGTTGCAAAACGATCGCTTCTTCGTGCTTGTTTAGACAAGTGGGTGTCAAATGGGGCCTGTCGCTCTGGTACTGCTTCAGACTGTTTTTTTCCTTCCTGAGCTAAAGAATGCAACATTGGGGTCTTCTGAGGAGAAATCTTGCTCCTCTCCTCTTTCCCCCACCTAAAATCTTTCTGAACAGATCTATTTTCAGCGGTAAGGAGACAGCCCTTTGCATACTCCTGATGACCATACCTAGTTTCACTTTCCTCAGAGCTGCTCTCAAAATTTTTCTTTTGTCCAGGCTTTTCAGAATGATTGTGTTTCTTAGCTTCTTCTACTACAGCAAACCTAGCATCCCCCTCTCTTTCCAATGGGTAATGACTACTGTTCTCACACCCTTTCAGTGAAGATTCAACAGATTGTTGAGGTAGATAGTATTTTGGTTTTTGGACCATTGTGACAACCGCAGGATTTTTGTGAGGTCCAAGTGATGCATCAGTCCCCACTGCAGTCTTCCAGCTGTCGTCCTTGAGTTGTAGTGGCTTTGAGCTTCCCTGAGCAGGCTGTTTTGCTGTCACGCAGTAATAGCGACTCTGTCCAGTGTTGTCCACCTTCTGTTCAGCAGCACTGTTTGAAGAAGAGGAAGTGTTGGGCAGACCAGCTAGGTTTGGACTGTAGCCATGAAAATGACCTGTAGGTAACTCCTGAACGCCACTGTAAGACAGATAATGTTGCTGATCTTTAGGCACAGTTAAGATTCTTGCATTGTGAAAAAAAGTGCTTTCATCACTGTACTGGTGCAGGTGGTGGTAACTGTAAGTTGGCTGTGCAAACCGAACATCAGTGCTGGAAAAGGATGACTGCAGTTTGTTCACAGTTCCTGCACTGCTATTGTACCTTTCACCAGTTGAAGAAAAAGTGTGTTCCGAATTGAGATCAGATTTGTAACTTGAGCTGCTGACCCTCCTGTCACATGCTCTGGAGGGCCGTCGCTGCTGTTCCAAGGTTTCCAAGTTCCAGTCGCTCCTGGGCTGAGAGCGGGTCAGGGCTGTAAAGTGCTGCGTGCTGGCACCCTCTGAGTACGCAGGGCCGTGGGCTTTCTCATGGCCTTTGGTAGCAGCAAAGCTGTCACTACGAAGTGGTGGAGGGGGAGGAGGAGGAGATGAAGACTTCTTCTTATCAGGAACATACCAAACAGGTCCAAAGCTGGATCGGTTCAGGGCTGTGAAGTGCTGCCTGCTGGCACCCTCTGAGTACGCAGGGCCGTGGGCTTTCTCATGGCCTTTGGTAGCAGCAAAGCTGTCACTACGAAGTGGTGGAGGGGGAGGAGGAGGAGATGAAGACTTCTTCTTATCAGGAACATACCAAACAGGTCCAAAGCTGGATCGTCCAGAGCTAGTGAGCTTGCCATCAGAGTGTTCCTCTATTCTAGGACTCTTGTTCTCATATTGGATAGGAGCTGGCAAGTACCCAGGTTTGTCCTCGATTCCACTATTGTCATTCAAGAACTGGCCAGACTTATTTCCATGCTTAGTAGTTTCCCAGTGGCCTACTTTGTATAGCATATTTTCTGTCGAAGAAGTGTCTGCATTGGATAGAGTGTGGTCAGGGGTGCTAGAGCTTGTGGAGAAAGACCCATAGGCTGAATCACGCTTACTTTGGCTCCCTAGATGATCAATGCTACTATTAGACCTTGCAGAAGAAAGTCTTCCATACTGGGCAACTTGTGGAGTGTGGTCCCAGCTGTCCATACTTCCCAAAGAGCTGAATTGGTCAGAAGTGCGATGTAGACTTGACTGATCCCATGAGTTTGACAGGTCATGAGAAGAACAACTATGGTAGGAAACAAACAAAAAAGCCTCATCATAAATACGCCAGTCAAAAAATGCCACAGCTTAATTATAAATATATAGCCACCAATTTTACTAATATTGGTTAAGATCTATCTGTATAGCAGTTACTCCAGACAAACAATCCAACAAAATCAGAAGTTTGAATATAAAGTCAGGGCTTTATCTTTAAACTCTTCATACATTCAAAGCTTAATAACCTCAATCACTAACTCCCCTGTGTAAGTTTACTAATAAGTAATACACATCTAATTCCTTGACGGCTCTGCTCTTCCTCTGCAAATTGTTGGTTTTGCTGACTTACTTTTAGACCAATTTAGTTTGAGCTCCATTAGCTCCCCCTTTCTCAACAAACACCAACTTATTTTTAAGCTTATTTTTCCAGGCACCCCTATTCTTCCAGCTATTAAACTCATGTACTTCCCTGTTCATCTTTTGTACTCACTCTAAACTTCTTCAGTCCATTAGCTTATTCCTCTGTCCTGCTTATCCAAATCTGTCCATTCATTGAATATTTCCATTTCTCAATGGAGAATGGAGGTTCACTAAAAACATTTGCCTCAAATGCCATCATTTCAGTTCTGAGCCTTCACATGTACTTTGCCAATGTAGTTTTGAACCACTCTCAGGTTGACAGCTTTATGTCATTCAATTCCACTCAGTTCCACAGCACTGACAGGAGAATGTTAGGAGGAGATGCCAGAGCAATGCAAGCTCTGCTTGACCAAAACTAACCTTCTGACCTTCCTTCAAGAATTC